CACGCCCCAGCCAGTGGCACTTCTGGGCCACCTCCGGGGGCAGGAGGAGCGGCAGGGACCGCCCGTTCAGAGACACTAGGAGCTGCAGCTGGTCCATGCAGTCCCGCAGGAGCTCCTCCGGGTAGCCACTGACTCTCAGGTCCAGGGGACTGTGGTGTCGCAGCAGCCGGTCCGCCAGCCCCAGGCTGCCGGCGGCCAGCAGGGATGGCGCGTATTTGGTGAAGGCGTAGTCGGCCAGGCTGAGCTCCGCGACGCTCCCCGCCAGGCTCCGGGCGTCTGCCGCCTCCGCCGCGTCGGCCCCTCGCGTCTCCAGCCGCACCTGGCTGAAGTGCTCCAGGAAGAAGCTGACGGTGGGCGCCGCCACGTCGAAGCCCAGACGGTGCAGGACGATGCACTCCAGGTTGCGGAGCTGCTGGCGGGTAAAGGCGTCGCAGCAAAGGGCGAGAAGCTCCTTCACGCTGGGAGGGTGCACCTCCACCTGCGAGGGGGGACAGGGGTGGGGAGATCGCCGCCAGGGAGCAACGCGGGGGAGCGGGCGCAAAACACTGCCCAGCTGCGGCTGAGCTCGGTGCCGTCGGAGCCGCTCGAGCTGCAGAGACCCCAGTGGGCTGCAGAGACCCCGGCAGCGCGGCAGCCGGGGCCGCCCTACCTGCTTGGAGGCGATGAGCAGCGCCGTTACCCCTAGAAGCTGGAAGCAGTCGGCGGCCACGGGCGTGGTGGCGAGAAAGCGGTCGAGGATGTTGACGGCCAGACAGAGGGCCTCGAAGGAGAGGTCGAAGTGCCGGTGTACGGGGATGAGCCAGCTGACCAGCTTGCAGCGCGCCTCCGCCGTCACCTGCGGCACCAATAGCGGGGTCAGGCGGGACCAACCCGGGGCTCCTCCGCCCGCTCCCCGCAGCCGGCCCCGCTGCCCCCACCTGCGGCTGCCGGGCCAGCGGCTCCCGCGGCTGGAAGCGGCTCTCCAGCCTCTTGCGGGAGCGGTACCAGCTCTCTCCGTAGTCACGGAAAGCCTGCAGCTCCTGCGGGCTGTCCCCCACGGCCCCCGCCGGCGTCCCCGGGCGCCGCCGCCGCGGCGGGCGGCGCGGGCAGCACTCGGAGGAGCCGCCGGGCCCCCGCCGCTCCGGGGTGCCGCTACCGCGCCCCTCTCTCGCCGCCGTCACCATGGGGCGGGCGGCCGTGCCAGCCCCGCTCCGGCCGCGGCCGCGACTATTTCAGCGGCGGGGCGGTCACCGCCCGCCCCCCGGGCACCTCGCCCCGCCCTCTGCCGGGCACCGCAAGGACCGCCGCCTCCGAAACAAAATCCGAGTCACCCAAACGCCGGCCTCGTCTCCGCCGTTTGCCATCGGGCCAGACGGCTGCGGTGGAGTCGACGTTGGTCTCCGACCTCCCGACCTCGGCCACTCTGTCCGGCAGGGCACGGAGAGCAAACCGGGCAGCAGTGCCATAAAACCACGGCAGCCGAAGCTGCAGTAGGTTGTATTTTGAAACTAATAAATCAGGTGTCTCTCCCGCGCAGTAACACTTTCATTTGAAGTCAGTGGGAAAAAGCACAAATACACCAGGGAAGGTATCTGGGAAAGAAGGAGATCTCTGGGCCGTCTGGATCTCGGTTACACTTCCAGCCATGGACTATTTATGCAGTAAAGTATTGTGTTCAGCTCTGGGCCCCTCAGTTCAGGAAGGACATTGAGGGGCTGGAGCGGGTCCAGAGAAGAGCAACGAGGCTGGTGAAGGGACTTGAGCACAAGTCCTATGAGGAGAGGCTGAGGGAGCTGGGGTTGTTTAGTCTGGAGAAGAGAAGGCTTAGAGGTGACCTCATCACTCTCTTCAACT